CTGTGCATGAATACACATAATGCATGTATTTCTGAGGTAACGTGGTGCTGCCTGGTCATGTGTGGTCTCTCTCTCTCTCTCCCCCCCCCCCCCCCCCTCTCTCGCCCTCTCTCTCTCTGCAGATCAAGTGTAATGGATTCACTCTGAGTGATCAGAGAGGTCTGCAGGCTGTTGGTGTGGGTCTGTTTCCAAACCTGTGTCTGGTGAACCACGACTGTTGGCCCAACTGCACCGTCATCCTCAACCACGGCAAGTACGTAAAACAGCTTCTGTGGATTCTGCTGCTGACGTGAACACGACGTGATGCTGACTTCACCTCCAGCAAACCAATCATCGTTACATGTTAATAACATATGTGATAAAACATGGAGGGACTGTTCTTTAGTTTCTACTGGATCACTTCAGACTCACTGGAGAAGTTCTGAAAACAATAAAAGAATAAAAAGATATTAAGTCAAACTACAAACAGCTCGTTTCTCCATCAAGGCCCAACCGTCCTTTAAATTATTATTTTAATGTAATTATTATATAATCTGACTTCCTGTGTTAAACTGTTTTTAACGATGTTGAAAATCTTCCTTCTGTGACACAAACATTAACCGACCGTCTCTTTCTTTTGCAGCCAATCGGCTCTGAGTTCTGCTCTCCATTCTCAGAGGAGGTGAGTACATCAGCCGCCAACCTGCTCACCATGTCCCACAATGCATTGGGCAAAGTAGTGATAGAGAGAGAGAGCTGCACTGTGACGTGAAAATGAAACCAAAATAATAAAAATCCTCAGACGAGAAGAGACGTCATTGAAAACGACTGAAAGGAACAAACGCTTCATTTACATTCATTCATTTAAATAAACAAAAGCTCTGTTTCCTCCAGTTTGACCAAAACTCGGATCTATTGCTTCAGTGAAAGACACTGAATGAATAAAATAATGACCGTCTGTCGAGTCTGTGCAGAGGAACCACCAACGTCCTGAGAACCAGGATGCTTCCTCTCCTCCTCTTCCCAGAATCGAGCTGCGAGTTCTGGAGAAAATCCCAGAGGGCGTCGAGCTGACCGTCAGCTACGTGGACTTCCTCAACCTGTCCGCCGACCGCCAGAAGAAGCTCAAGGAGCATTTCCACTTTGAGTGCACCTGCGAGCACTGCAGCCATCACACCAAGGACGACCTGATGATGGCTGCGGCCGAGGGAAGCAAAGTGAGTGAGGCCGACGACGACTCAGATACAGACTCTCCTCGTGTCTCCGTTTCTAACTTGAGTTCTGCTCTCAGGCCGATAAAGTGAAGGAGGTGACGGCCTTCAGTCAAGATTGTCTGGAGAAGATCGAGGCGTCTCGTGTTCAGGGCGATTTTCGCCACGTACGTAGCATCAGCTTCTCTTTTATCATCCCTCGTTCTTCTGTCCGTCAATCGTCTCTGCTCTTGTGTCCGTCGTCTCTCAGGTGGTGAAGCTGTGTTGTGAATGTCTGGAGAAGCAGGAGAACGTTCTGGCCGACACTCACCTCTACAAGCTGCAGGTGCTCAGCGTCGCCAGCGAGGTTCTGTCGTACCTGCATTCGTTCTCTGAGGCTGCGGACTACGCCCACAGGATGGTGGAGGGATACACGTGAGTCAGGGATCGGGGTCTTCTGTGTAGTGACCAGCAGGGGGCGGCTGATGTTCATTTAGTAAATTATGATCATTTAGAGACAAACAGACCATAAAGCATCTGATGAGTTGGGGGGTGGATACCACAGTGTGATTGACAGCTAGTACTGTCCAATGGACGCGGGTTGCAGGTGTAGGTGGTCATACCCTCGCACAGGCTCCTCCCCCTATCCCTTCAAATATGGTTACTTCCGGTTTCAAAAAACCAAGATGGCGCTGAACACAACGTGAAACTGAGGCTCACAAACCAACAGGTGACGGTTGAGAGATTGGAAGGAAACCAAAACGACACCATGATCGTGTTACTCACGTAAACTCCAAGTACTTAAATACAGCGCTGGAGTAAATACTCAGCTTCGCACTGTGGAGGCGTCTGTCGGCCTCATACCTGAAACACGGCAGCTGCAGACGTGGGACTGATCCTTCCTCTCTCTTCTGAACAGGAAGTTGTATCACCCTAACAACGCCCAGTTGGGCATGGCCATCATGCGGGCGGGCGTCACCCACTGGCACGCTGGTCAGATCGAGGCGGGCCACAGAATGATCTGCACGGCCTACGGGATCCTCATGGTCACACATGGACCGAACCACGCCATCACCAGAGACCTGGAGGTAAACGACTCGACACTGTTGCATGTGGAAATATCTTCACGTCGTTATTGAAGAGCCGTACTCACAGTTTCATCTTCCTGGTTTCAGACCATGCGTGCGCAGACGGAGGCGGAGCTGAAGATGTTCAGGCAGAACGAGCTGAAGTACCACACCATGAGGGACGCCGCTCTGAAGATCCAGCCCACGGCCTCGTGTTAACTGTGTACCTTCATGTACATATACTGCATGTCCTCTAAGCACTGTAGCCGGTCCATGATCTTATGTGAGAGCCAACACAACTCGCCGTGTGTAGTTTCCACAATAAAAGAGTTTCAAAACAGTCGTGATCATTTGACCTCGAGTCCGAACAACTGATTGTTCATATTATTGATCGTCAGATTTTGAATAATGTTCTGTGAAGGCTGATCAAACCTCATCACATCATTTACTAAAGCTGGTTTTCCACTAAAAACCCACTGACGTCTGTGACTTGTCTGTGACTTGTCTGTGATTTGTCTGTGATTTGTCTGTGACTTGTCTGTGATTTGTCTGGGATGTGATTCAAACTTCTCGGATCTCGGACAAATGGGCCTTTAAAAAAAATCCCTGTTTCAGGAGTACTGAGAAATAAACCTGTACGTGGCCTCAAATACAACACAGAATTATTATTCATCAGTGAAATGAAAAATCATTGAGCGGTTTTTTTCCAAACATGAAAAAAATCTCTTTTATTTAAAGCTCATTCTGCGTCCCGTTAAAAAACTCACTTTACAAAGATTATTCGCTGTTGACAAAGTCAGAGAAAAAGAACCAACGCAGGAAGAAACTAACTTTTAAAAAGTTTATCAAAAAGCTGAAAATAGAAGCTGTGTGCGTCACGGCTACAGTTTCATCACAGTGAGAAACGTCTGATGGTCCACTGCTGCCAACGGCATCTGTAAAGGTCAAAGGTCAAAGGTCGCAGGATAACATGTTTCAGTCTGAATACTTTAAATACAAAATGACAAATTATTAAACCTCCCTTCATTATTTCCAGTTTTTGTTGTCTTTGATTCAAACATATTTCTTTGTGACTTTAGTGTCGACTTAACGAAACAGTGAGAACAAGCTTTGAATCCCTCGTTAAATTAAAAAAATATTTAAAATAACATTCAAATGTACAATGAAGACAAACAGGTTGATAATTCCCAGAGTCACTGTGAAGAAGATATATTAACACATTTCTGTACATTAGTGTTTTCAGAAAAACTTCATTTGAAATCATCAAAATGATCAAATCTCAAAATCTCAGATGGGACAATAAAGTGACGCGTTCTCCGTCTCACTGGACGACACAGAGGTCGGTGCCGGACTCATCGTCTACCGCCCCAGCAGCGTCTCTGTGAGTCCTGCCGTGCTCGACCGAGCCTCCGTCCTGCTCGTACCCCTGCAGACGCTGCCTCAGCTCCGTCAGCAGCTCTTTACCGTCGCTCGACGGCAGGTTGCCCAGGTAATACTGAGGCGTCAGCTCCACGAGCCTGCGGAGGAGAGGCAGGTTGTTTTTATCTGAGGTTAAGAACTTCTACAGACAATAATAAAACATTTAAAGGATTTGCACTAAGAAACATGTCTTGGGTGCAAAGGCTTTTACTTTAACAGCCCAGTTTAACCGTCTCAAGTGCTCCCAGGAGCCCCCTGGAGGCAGGATGCGATAGCCTAGCTCAGCTTAAGCTGTGGCGAGCAGCAGGACATTACACGTCTAAACCATAACGCATCTCACAGTTCCACTCACATCTGGGGATGGACCTCGGAAGCGATGAGGATGCAGTTGTCACGTGAAATGGTGAATTCGTGGTAGAGGACCCAGTCGGGGGGGTCAGGGCAGGGCTGGCGACACCGGTAGGAAGAGAACGGATGCAGGTGAGCGACGTGGCGGTGCGAGAGCAGGAGGTAGTTTCCTGATCCGTCCACGTCGTGAGCCAGCTGAGCAGGAAAAGAGAAACGTCATCAGACGACTTCACAGACACTTCATTCGTTACGAGTTACAACTGCTAATGGTAGCACACAGCATACAACTAAATCTGTTTCACCTTTAACTTATTTTGGTACAAATGCTGAATATTGTATTTGTGTGGTGAAAACCAGTCACAGTGACCACAGAAGAAAAACACTATAATATATTTGCTAATGTAAGCATGCTAAGATGCTAACAACACTGTAGCCCAGGAGTAAAACCATGAAGCTATGGAGCTGTGAGTGACTCAGGAGCCACTGACCTCGACAGAAGAGTCGACTGTGCCCAGCAGCTCCACATCCACATCACAGACATTAAAGAACAATTCTGAGAAAACCGGTTGTTTACTTTGAGGAAGAATCCTGAGATGAGAGCACGCTTGATATTCGTGCAGTTGTCCTGACACCCGAAGGCAGGAGGAGAAACAGGAAGCTCGATTCGCTGCATCACCTCCAGCAGCTCCGCCCTGATTACCGCCGCCAGTCGCAAGGAGGCGTGACTGAGGAAGTTTGTGTTGCACCACGACTCGTCCTGATTATCTGACCAGACAAAGACCGAAATTCACTCAATGACTCACTTATTATTTTATGATTTAAAGTCGACACCGTCAACAATCATCCTGTGAGAAGACAGCAGGAGAACATCTGGAACCTTCTCAGTGAGTGGGCGTGTCTCTGAGGTTTCTAACACGTGACGGACGTGAAACTGAAGAACACAAATCTCTCAGGATGAAGAAGAGGACACGTAGAAGACGAAGACGATTCCAGAGCTTTTGGTGATAAGGGCCGACGCCGGCGTGGATGAGCTGTAAACAACAACACTGATGGTGTTGTGTGAAAACATCTGGTGTGTGATGAAGTTACGTACGCTCAGTGAAGGCTTGGTAGATGTTGATGAGCGTCATGTGATCTCCCTCTGTGTGCATCAGAGATCTCCAGTGTGTGACGGCAGCTTCCTCTCTGCTGGATTCAACCGTCAGGAAACACGATGGCGCTAAGACAAGAGACAGATCACGTCCTATAAATATAATCACAAGCAACAGAGGCTTCATTTCCCACTTTGTTTTAAAGACGAGTGTTACCTGTGAGCATGGCGGCTATCGTGAGCAGCTCATCAACGCAGTCGTACTCGCAGGCAGCGATCAGAGCTTTCGCTAGCGATGGTTCCAGTGGCAGCTCCGACATTATGATGCCAACTTCCGACAGGTTACCATCATCGTCCAACGCTGCCAGGTAGTCCAGGTCCTCCAGGGCCTGCATGAGAGCCTCAGGGGCTGAGGGGGGGGGTTCAACATTCACAGTAATCAAAATCATGCACTGTAAATAAAGATGGACGACATGACGGTTCCTAAAGTGAAGCCAAAGCTTCTTGTGGCTGACTGCTGTCTTCTCAGAATGGTTTCTGTCATTTTAGGGAGTTCTCTTCACAACAAGATGGCAGCCGCCACAGCCGAGATATTTTGGTCTCATCTCTGGATAGATTAGAGGTCTTCATGATCTGAAACTATCTGACCCCATAAACATAAATTACATTTCAAACGTGTCGTGGGTTCATGGTGGATTTTCATACGTTTCAAAAGAACTTGTTGTTTCCAGCTGTTGACCATATTTGGGCTAAGCTAACAAGCTGCTGCCTGTTCCATTATATTTAACATCTGCTCCACTTTAAAACCTCGAACTCTCTCAAACCCCTTTAAATCCGGTTTGTACCTGGTCTGTCCAGGAACTTGCACTGTCCCATGTCGGCAATATCGAGTCTCTTGAGCAGGAGCACGAGGTGGCTGAGGTTTTCGTCCAGCACCCCCGGACAGTGAGCCGCCGCCATCCCGTCATCGTACAGAGACTGAGGGTACAGACGGAGACAAAGCCCTGAGGAGGAGGAGACAACAGTGACCAGTCACCATAAAGAAAAACACTCTACGTTTTAAGTATTAACAATATCTGAAAGGAAAATATCTGGTCGGTCAAAGCTCCAGTGTAATTCATGATTCTCCCTCCGAGTGTCGCCAAAGTCAAACATTTTCAAATCTTGCACGTAGCATTAAAACAGCTGTGGTGAATCTTCAACGACCTTTGACCCACCTGGAAGGTGACTGTTGACTCTCTGAGCTCTCATGTCCGCCTGGTGTTTGCTGATCATCCTCAGAACCTGTGAGTTTGCTCTTATTTGTGGGTTGTAAACCTGAGGCAGGAAACGAAGGAGAGACAACGATAACCTGAAACGCTCTTTTCATCGTCACTTCAATCAAATCAGCTCAGAACTTCATCATTTTCTGTATTGATCTGGTTCCAGCTCATAATGACCAAATAAAGACAATAAACTGAAGTCAGAATCATAAGCTCACAGTTTTCAGTTGAAGGCCGGTGTCTATGACGTAGCGAATGGCCGGCAGAGAGAAGGATGCCTCCGATAACGTGTCGGTGATGATAACCTTCCTCTTGACGCCCGGACCTCCTGCTCCCAGCGCCGAGCCGCCGTCCACGCCCTCGGAGCTGTCGTTGTTTTTGAGCGTGGAGGATTCAGGGTCGGATTCGTAGACCCTCTGTGTCAGTCCACCCAGTCCGGCGTGGAGTGGGAGGATCCTGAGAGGACCGAGCTGAGGACTCAGAGCAACGCACTCCTTCTCCAGCAGGGCGGCGCACTCTTCAATTTCCTGCACAGACCAAAGAAGAAAGAAAGAGACCAGAGTCCGTGTTTTAACCGAGAATAAAGACGGACGACAAAATGTCTCCCAAATGTGAGGTCATAAGCCTCCTCCATGTTGGCAGATGGGACATGGACCAAACTAAATAAATCAGAGTTGTCTTTGCACAAGTGGAGACGAGTTGGAGACATCGCCGCTGCAGCCTCACGGACACGGTGGAGTTTCTTCTTCTCTCTCGATGAATCATCATTCTCAGGTTTAATCTACAGAGCGGTTTTTATTTTCCACAGAAAACTGGTTCAACCAAATTTCTCTCGGCTGAAGTTTCACCGACTTTGTTTTGTTTGTGGAGTGAAACCAGGACACGTGAACCTGAGGCCTGTCATGAAATTCAACACCCTTTGTCAACACCACGCCTCCTTCACAGGTTAAATGAGACAGACTTCATCTGTGCGGTTTGATTTATATATGTTTTTATCTTGTACCTGAGAACTCGCCAGAAACACCATCACATCTCCTTTCTCTCCTCTTCTGTGAAGATCTAACACCGTGTGACAGGCGGCAGCTAAAGGCTCCTTCCCGGAGGACAGTTCTCTGTACAACGTCTCCACGCCGTTCGCCGTCTCAATCTTCTCCGCTGCGCCTCCACCACCCTCCTTCTCCTCCTCTCCGGTCGCAGCATCAGCGAGCAGACTGTCCAGAGAGAGGTGAGGGACGGAGGCTCCCAGGAAGCCAGAGAGGCGAGGCGCCAGCATCGGGTGAGTGAGGAGAACCACCCGGAAGTTGTCGGGCCTCTGGCGGCAGACGTCACACAGCAGGCCGAGCAGCACGTCTGTGGACACAGTTCGCTCCTGGAGCTCGTCCAACACCACGACACCGTACTGATGCAGCAGAGGGTCTGACATCATTTCCTCCAACAGCAGCGTGTCACTGACAAACCTGAAGAATCAAAACCATTCAAACAAATTAAAGATTTTTAAACCATAAAAACATCAACAGCCTGAAGCTCTGTCAACATAAAATCACTCTCAGGGACAAAACCTGAACTCTGACACGTTTTCAGTCCTGATGTTAATACCTGGTCTTTGTGTCTCAGCTGATACTGATCTGATACCAGTGTTTAATGAAGCGATGTCAACACATGTATGATACTAATTTACTGAGCGGTTACTTCTAATGAAAACGGTAAATCATCAATAATCGTCATTGATCCTCTCGTTTGACTCCATGTGAGAGAAAGACGTTGCAACATCATCATTATGAAACTGGGACCCGGAGGAGATGAGTTCACATGACACAGATCAGATAAAGACTCCGTTCATGGTTTTCTCAGTTTGAACACTGAGCTTTTGTTTTAAACTAAAACTCTACAGAAATACTTCAGGTTGCTCCAAGAGAAGTTGTTCATAAATAACAAGTGAACTGTTGTTGGTGCATTTTTAAGAGGTGAGGACATTTTTCTGTGCAGTTTAGTTTCAGAGAAAAATAAATATGGATTTGATATTTTCTGTTTGTTGAACAGAGACCTGGAGGTTTTCTGGATTAGTTTAAATCTAAAACTCACTCATTAACACGCTGTGTTAAGTTTGTAAGATTCAGAAGTTGTGGCGTTACAGTGAGTTAAACCCTGAAATCATTTTTCTTTACATATTTAGTTTGAAATAATATTTGTGGTGAATAAATAATCCATTCACTGGTCATGAATGCTTGTATTGTGTTTTACCACCAGTTGAAGACGACTCTGAATTAAACCACAGTAGAAATCAATCTCTCTGAGGCGTGACACCGTGTGACAACAAGCGGGTCTTGTGCTAACCATGAAATATAACACGCCGCCCCGGGCACCTCCCACCACACGGATGCTCAAGTCTGAATTCATCCAGCAAGAGTGATGTCATCACGTTACTCTGAGAATCGACACTTCAACAGAACAGAATCTGGAAGAGCTCAGTTACCTGAGCAGGGTGTCGGGTGTGCAGCTGTCGTCATGAGACACCCTGTAGCCCACCTCCAGACCCAGGCTGAGGTCCATCTCATCCGCCACACGAAGAGCGAGACTCACCGCCGCCGCCGAGTACGGCTGCGAGCAACACACCAGGCCCTGGGAGAACTCGTATGACAGCGCGTACTCCACACACCACTGAGGCACCTGCAGCGAGGACGTTAAAGATCACTGAGGACATTAGTGACCACAGGCTCTCAGGTTCGATGAAGCACAAAACTAATTCAGATGAATCAATTAATATTAAAATCCTTCAAATAGAAATAAAGCTCATGGACACATGAACGACAGTTCATGGACGGGTTCAGACCCAGTGTCTCATATAAACCAGTTCTTCGTTTCCAGCAGCGAAGAACCGGATCAATCTGACACTTCGCTGCTGGAGAAGAAAGAACGTCTCTGGATTCTCATGAACAAAATAAAAACCACAACAAGATAATAAATCAAGTGACGTAACGCCGAGGTAATAAAAACGTCTGGACTGTGGAAGGTAACAGAACTTTCTATTGTGGAGAAACGTGACTGAACTTCTATAACATGTGATCGTGGACTCGACCTTGTGATCTGGTGGTTACCTGTGTGCTCTTCCCGCTGCCGCTCGGCGCACTGAGCAGCACCATGTGGTGACTCTCCAGATGCTCCAGCAGACTCCTCCTCAGCCTCCACGCAGGTAACTGCTGCCGCTCCTCCAGCAGCGAGTAGTAACGTGACGAAAAGGGCAAACTGTCGTACGGGTTCACCTCCAGGTCCCCGAGACCCTCGTCCTCTCCTCCTCCTCCGTCCACGTCATCGTCCAAATCCCCGGAGAGGAGCGAAGACACGGAGAGGGAGTCCAGGGCCATCGAGAGCTTGGACCCCGAGGAGGAGGACGTGGTCGAGGGCTTCACTGGAGGAGACGACATCTTCAGGAGACGGTGAAGGAGAGAGGGGCCACAGATTATCTGCAGAGAGGAGGTGATGTTAGAGGTGAACACAGAGGAGAGGAGAGA